AAATCAGAAAGCCTACAAAAAAAATAGGGAAATAACAGCTGCCACCTATCAAACCGACCTCCCATCACTCACTATGGCCTCTGTTATCTCTGTTTCATAGAATAAATACACAGAGTTAACATCAGAGACAGCTGAACTGCTTCCTCTAGGCCACAATCCTATCCTCAACAGAAGGTTTTCCATGGGACACCCACCTTTCTTCAGGTTCAGAGTCAGAGAGGAAAGAATTGCCTCTTCCCCCCCCCACCTTTACTTTCCAGTAACTGTCAAGTTTAAAACATAGAAAATGAAGGACTCTTCAGCCACCTCCTACCATGTGCCAGGCATGCTTTCATTATATAATAAACTCTATTTCCATTTTATTGCCAGAACTCCATCGCAAAGAATCGAAGAAGTGGAAGCTCAGACAACGAAGTGATTTTTCCCAAGTTGCATTGAAAGCTCATTGTGGAGTTAGAGTTGCATAGTTCTCACCAACTCCAAAGTATTTCAACACATACGACAGCCATAGAGCTTAATAGTTAAACTCCCAGGCTCTCCAGACAGACGAGGCTCAAATCTGAACTCCACTATTCACTAGCTGCATCAGTCCAGGCAAGCTGTTTAATGACTCTGTGTTTCAGTTTCCTGATTTTTCCAATGAGCGTGATGATGATAGTTTCCTTTTCATAGCTTGTTATAGAGAACAAAAGAATAGTAAGAGTGTAATAAATACCACTGTGGGCATTGGCTTCTTCTGTTGACTCTAAGGTCTGTACACACAAGAGTCATTGTCTATTTTGTTCACTGTTGTATTTCTAGCACTTAGAATAATGTCTAGCACATAGCAGGCAATAATATTGCATGCATAAAAAAATGTTCAAGCAAAATAAGTCTTTAAACTATGTTATGAGTGGGTTCAACAGCCAGCCTTAATAACTACAATTCTCCTTTCTCTTTTCTATTTTTGAAAAACATGCATTTTATAGGTAAATTGTGATGCAGGTCATTGGAGTCATAATTCCAAGTGTAATATTGGAAACTAGTGATTACTTTGGTTCTTTCAATGTTCTTGACAAAGAGAAAGTTAGCAGAAAGGTGAAGCTGAGGTTTGAGCACATAGCAGGTACAAAGAGTGCTTTCAGATACTCTCCTGGTTCTTTTCTATTTTCAAAGGTGTGTGCTTGTATAATTAGAATTTAAATTCCTTTCATCCCGTATTTTTCTAAATCTGAGTTTGCCATTATCCCATAGATTTTTACCTCTGAAAGTTTATTTTTACTGAACTTGTGTCTTTTAAAATTCAAATCAATATGTAGTGGCAACAGCTGCTGAGAGCCACGGGAATAAATGAAGTATGGGTCCCACTAAGAGGTGATATTGTCTCTTTTTTAAATGGCCATTTATTTCTTGGGGACCAGCAGTTAGCGTAATGACTATGTCTCTGGACTACCACATAGTCGACCGCAGTTCGCGTTCCGGATCCAGTGACTTAAACTCACGCTGGGTGCGTGTGCGTGCATGCCCAAGATGCTGAGAGGAGAATGGAGGAGAAGGGATTGCGGTGTGGCCATCCCCCCCGGGGGGGTGATTTCTCGCTTTCTGTCTCTCTGTCTCTCTCTGTCTGTCTGGCGAGTGCACACGCCCTATAGCAAAAACCTCTCCAGAACAAAAAAGGCCATTTATTTCTTTCAAGAAATAAAGAAAAAGAAAGAGGGAGAGAGAAGGATTGTTAACGGGGTCCCCATTGCCATGATGCACCACCAGCCACAGTTAGTCAGGGTCATGGGCACTCACGTGCATGCTCAGGGGGCATAGGGAGACCATGGGGTCTTCCTCCAACATAGTCCCAGCATCACAGAGCTCCACACCCTACTCTACCACTGACGTTGGCCAATATTGCCTTTGATATCTACAATTTAACAGTGATGAGGATTCCAGCAACAAAGCCTCTGGGAAGAAAGCAAGCTCATCCCTGAGTCTGAGCATGCGCAAACAAGAAGTATACACAGGCAAAACAGGAACGGGGTACCTTTGGAATAAAACATACTCTTGCAAGTGGATTTATGTAGGCACTCCTCAGAAGCAGAGCCCTATGTATCCCCAGAAGCAGTACTTCAAGTCTGTGGCACCTTGGCAGAAAGCCATTTTTGAGTCTTCATTGAATTTATGATGTGTACATATGATATCCATTCTGAAAGATGATTAACTGGTACCCCTAAACACAGCAAAGCACTGGGGTTCTAATCTTTCTCCCTGGTTTTCACTGTGTAAATTATTATTTTCATTAAGGGTAAGCAGTTCTACTGAATTACAGGGCAGTAACTTACGCAATCATCTCCTTAGAATGCTTTATCTCTGACAATTTGCCTCTCAAAGGATCTTTGAAAGACCTCAATAGTAAGAGAGGTCACAATTGTTTTATGGTTTTATTTTTGTTTTAATGAAGAATCCTACACACGTCTTAACTAAAACAAAATGGATACATTTTGCTTCTGAGTATGATTCGCCCCTTTTTTCAAGTCTAAAAATTAATTTGTTACCTTTTGGAAAAGTTTGTAATGAAAGATTTGTTCCAGGTTAAAATATCTATGAATCTGATTATACTGAAACTAAGCTATAAATAAAACTGTGAGCTAAAGAGTTAATACTATGAGGTGAACATTCTATATACAGCTCAGAAGCTCACTGACAAAATTTACTTTTGAGGTTTAAGTCATAAAATCAGATTTGGTTCAAAATGGCAACAATAAAAAATATATATATTTTCCTTGAGAGAGCTTGTACATAAAAGTATGATGAGCCTGTAAATAGGATAAAATGTTCTGATATTTAATCTTTTGATAAAATAACAACTGAAATTTTAAAGTATTTGTTATGCATGAGAAATTAGGGGCAAAGCATCTAATATGTGTTATTTTCCTATGAGATAGGTAGTATAGTTATCCTCATTTACTATGAAGAAAAGAGGAAGAAAATGGGGATTTATAAAGGTCAAGTAGAAACAAAGCCATGAATAACAACTGCAAAAAATAGACCAATGAATCAAAACGCTTCTGTTCAGCAAAGGAAACAATCAAATATTGAAGAGGCAACATACAAAATGGGAAAAAAATTACTCACAAGTTTTCTATATACAGCAAAAGACTAATGACCAGAATATTTAAGGAACACAAGCAGCTCACCAGTTATAAACAAATAAACAAAAACCTCCAACTTCTAAAATAAGCAACTGGGGGACCAGCAGTTGGCGTAATGACTATGTCACTGGACTCCCATGTAGCCGACTATAGTTAGAGTCCTGGACCCAGTGGCTTAAACACACACCAGGCACATGTGCATGTGTGCCCAAGATCCTGAGAGGAGAATGAAGGAGAAGGGATTGTGGTGTGGCCATCCCCCCTGGGGGGGATTTCTCGCTTTCTCTCTCTCTGTCTTTCTGGGGAGCACACGTGCCCTATAGCAAAATCCTCTCCAAAAAATATAATAATAAATAAGCAATTGGGACATCAGGTGGCATGAAGTTTAAGGCTCTAGGTCCCATGTGTCCCACTGCATGGTTTTACCCGAAGTCTTGAAAATCATGCCAGGTGTGTGTTTATGCAGGCCTCAAATCCTGAGAGAAGACTGGAGAAGGGTGTGTGGAGTGACCCTCCCACTTGGGAAGTGATTTCTCACTTTCTTTCTGTCTCTCTCTCTCTCTCTCTTGTGCACATACTCTGTAGGAAAAAAAATTAAAAAGCACTTGATCAGAACAGAAATTTTCAAAAGACATACAAATGACCAAGAAGTACAGGAAAAAATGCTCAACATCACTAATCATCAGAAAAATGTAAATCAAAACCACACTGAGATGTCATCTCACCCCAGTTAGAATGAGTATTAATTTTTAAAAAAACAACACAAAGAATAACAAGTACTGTCGTGGTTGTAGAGAAGAGGAATTCTCCTTTGCTATTGGTGAAAATGTAAATTAGTAAAGCCAGTATGGAAAACAATATGGCAGTTCCCCCAAAGACTATAAATAGAATTATCTTATGAGTCTGTAGTCCCAATTTATATATATATGTATATGACCTGTAAGTATCATCATATTGTAGGTAACATCATAAGGAACAAAGAAACTACATTTAGAATAAACAAAAATTATTTTGTTTAATGATCCTAAAAATAGTGTGTGACCAATATTACTTCCATCTAATAAAACAATTGTAAGTTTTTGGAGGACAAAAATTACATTTAGAATAAACAAAAACCATTTTGTTTTATGGTTCTAAAACAAGTGGTGTGTGATTAATATTACTTCCATCTAATAAAGCAATTGTAACTTTTTAGAGGACAGAATTTCAGGAAATGGTAACTTTGTGGTAACTGATAAGCTTCGGTTTTGTTCGATTTATTGTTTCTACATCTTATCTGAATTTGCTATCTATTAAATGTCTTCTTTTGAGAATTTTTGTTCCAATTAATTGGTTTTTGTTTGTTTGTTATAAGGTATGCACACTTGTCAGGGAGAGACAGAGAGAGATGCCATTTGTCAATAAACAAAAATATTGTTATTTTTTCTTGTATATGGGACAAATTTGATATTTAAAGAAGTTTTAAAAAATGATTTCTATCATGCAGCATAAATGAAATCTTTTTTTTGAGAGTTTTTTCACTACAGGGCACATGCGCTCACTAGAGAGACAGAGAGAGACAGAAAGTGAGAAATCACCCCCCGGGGGGATGGCCACACCACAATCCCTTCTCCTCCATTCTCCTCTCAGGATCTTGGGCACGCGTACACATCTGCCTGGTGTGAGTTTAAGCCACTGAGTCTGAGACTCGAACCATGGTTGACTACATGGGAGTTCAGCGACATAGCCATTCTGCTAACTGCTGGTCCCGAAATGAAAACTTAAATTTATGATTTTAAGTCGGATGAATTAATTCCCATTTCAACTACAAGATAACAGAGTGAAAAAAAAAATGATTTGTGAAATCTACTCAACATTTTATTTTTTCCTTTTTTCTTGTAGGTCGCTATCCTCAGGAGAACAAAGGAACCTACATCCCGGTTCCTGTAGTCTCAGAGCTAAAAAGTGGGAAGTGGGGAGCTAAAGTTATCATGACAGAAGACAAGTCTGTTCGACTGTCCATTCAGTCTTCCCCTGAATGCATTGTGGGGAAATTTCGCATGTATATTGCTGTCTGGACCCCTTACGGCATCATCCGAACCAGCCGAAACCCAGAAACAGACACATATATTCTCTTCAATCCTTGGTGTGAAGGTAAGGAGCAGGCACTTTGCTTAATTTAAACATTTACATATTTTCAATCCATCTCTTTTTTGAGGAGTGCAAATATTATTCTAAAAGAAATTTCTCTTTCCATGTACATTGTTTTAAATGACTGAAAGAGGGACCACACCCCATTGGGCTTCTCTCTCTCTCTGCCTCTCTCTTTCTTTTTCTTTTTTCTCTGGTGAACACACATACCCTCTGGCAAGGAAAGAAAGAAAAAGGAAGAAAGAGAAAAAAGGTCAGTCTGAATGTCTAAAGGATCCCACAGACTTGTTTATATGTGTAGTGGGTACAAATTTTGCAAACTATAACTCGGGATGTGCAAATATGTAACTATATTTCAATATAATACAACTTAATCTCAAGTACTATTTTTCAGTTTTCTGTCTGTGACAGAATATAATCTAGTTATATTCAGATAAACTCAGTGAAGTTTGACTGTTTCTCTATCAATTCATTTTTAACCCAGTCACATGGAATTTTCTCTCCTTCCCCGTCTCTTTCCTTCCATACCTTACTCTTCCACCCTATACTCAGTAATGGGGCTGATTTTTAGTTTCAGAGGCAGATATAACATCGATGGAGAGAGGTCCACTTTTAGATCTTAGGAAATAAGGCAATAAAATATATACAAAATGATGTAGGGACCAGAGTCTTCTTAACTCATCCTACTCTATATGCATTGCTCTCCAATATCTTTCAAAATGAATCTTCATCATTGCTTAATTTGTGACCCTATTTGTCAGAGCTGCATTTGGATCTGGATTTATCTGAACTAGATACAAATAATAAGTAGATGGTAATGTTTCCTACTCACTTGGAATATAAACCTGTATGCTACTGATTTTATCTGCGAATTACCTATTCTAATTGTGTTGGCATATGGCACAAAGTTAAACCTATATTTTCCACTATGCACCTTTACTATGTTATACCCAGCACTTCTATCTATGAGATAGATCTTCAAAGCTGGTGGTAACAGATGTTAACCGGGGAAAGGTAGACTCCTGTTTATAGTAATCTCATCAACCAGATACAAGGCATTTTGCAACTAGTTGATGGGGTACTATTTATAGAGATGGAAAAGACTGAAGGGAGCTAAGGCACAGAGATAAACTAAAGTTTTGAAACTATTATGTTGGAGAAAGCTATCTAAATAATAGATACATGCATATGGAGAGGAAAACTAGAAATGTAAATTCATACTTAAAATCTATAGG